GTGCTGAAGGAAATGAGTGGTGGAGGTGTGGACTTTTCAATTGAAGTCGTTGGTCGGCATGACACTATGGTATGTACTCTGACTTGTCTTGAGATGTGTGCTTCTGCAATCTGGAGTCTGCTTTAGGCAGCAGAATATAAACATTACGTACAAATAATATTTTTTAAATTATGAATGGCAATTTTTCATCTCCTGTTTATTACCTAAGTCAGTTGCCCTTGAGTAGACTCTGACTCCTCACAACCCCATGTGTGTCAGAGTAGAAATGTACTCTGTAGGGTTTTCACTGTGCTGTAGGGTTGACACTGTGCTGTAGGGTTTTCACTGGGTTCCACAGGGTTTTTTTTTCAAAAGTAGGTCACTAAGCCTTTCTTCTGAGGTGCCTCTGGGTGGACTAAAATGCCAACATTTTTCTTAGCAGCTGAGCATTTAACCTTTTGCACCACCCCGGGACTCTATTTGATTCTTTTATTTCTTATGAGGAGTTTTTCATTCCATCAGCTAAAGAAACCTGTCTCAAGTAATATTTCCCCTTTAGAAGTTATTAATGAACCATTGTAAATTTATTTTATTAATATTTAGTTTTAAAAATCCTTCAAACTCAAGGAAATAGAAATAAAGCAAATTCTGTTCTCAAATTGGTAAAACTTTAATTTACTTATATTTTTAACAAAAATATTTTAACAAGTTTTCATATGTTTTCTATGATTTAATGAATTCTGATTTTTTTCCTCATGTCATTCTTTGGTCGGAAGGAATACTAAGCAATTATACGCCTAGCGTTATTTTATTAACAGAAAATAGGTCATAAAGGAAGTGACTGCTTCAATGTTATCACAGTATTGTCTTACAGCAGAAAGTATAGTGCCTGGTAGATAATAGGTACCTAAAATCTATATGTTGAATTGAATCCTTTAAAAAGTCAACAGATTTTACCACCAAAAAAAATTGAAGGCGTATATATCTCATAGCATTGTTTGCGGATTACATGAGATAATGCACATAAAATACTTAGCACAGAGCCACCTGGTAAGCTGTGGTAAGCGCTCAATAAACTAGTATTTTTGTTATATAATATTATTTCCAATCTTGAAGTGCTTCCATCATCTTTGAAATGTGCATGATATTGCTTTCAAATAACTACAAACATCATCAATAGCATTGAGGACCACATCTCCAGTTATAGTCCACCTAACCAGAATTCTCTAGAACCCGAATGAAGCAGTACTCAGACCAACAAATCGCAATTGTTGAACTTCTCCAGTAAGTCCCAGCAGCATTAGTAATAGGGAACAGCATCCTGAGCATAATGCTCTTTACAGTCTTGACCTGGGACAATATGCCATAGACAACTGACATTCCAAGGGATCCCAACTTTTTCCAAGGCTGAAGATTTTCTTAAGTTCTTTTCCTGTTGTTTTTCCCTCATTTTCTCATGTGGAACTGGATTTTTACTTTATCTGATGATATCAAATGTCTGATAT